TTCTGTTCTGAATGTGGAGAGTCATTATGCTTGGATCCTCCAGAGTGTGATTATGTTTGTCTCTCTGTCTTTTGTTCAGTGGGCCTCTGTGATAAGTCGCATAACAATGGATCAAGACAGAACATGGCACACTCTCATGAATTATTTGAAGAGCAATAACGACAACGTACTTAAGTCATTGACTGGTCTGCTTCGAAATCTTACAGTCCATGCAAGGAACAAGGAGGATGTTGGTGAGTAACCACATAACCGCTAATGGAAACCATTGTTCATTTGGATAAGTAAGAGCATTTGATGATTTGAACAATAGCTCCAATTGGCTTGAATTCCCAATTTTGATACTGTGCCTGAGCTACAACAGATTGGTTTGCATTTGCTGAAAGTGGTTGGAGACCCCAGGAGATTTGGGAACATAGACGTCACTCTTACTCAGAGTAAATGAAAGGCAGACTGAGACAAACCTGATAAGATGTGTCAGCTACGTGATTAGCAGTATGGTAGGTCATCATTTGGAAGGTGCTATGCTGAGGAGTTATTGAAAATGTTGCAAGGTATAAAATCTTTTCACACAACGCTTCGTTATATTGTTTTGTAATCTCTCTCTGAGCATGGAGAATGTGATTTCCAGTGACCACACTACCTCCACCCCCATGAGGTGTGTAAGCCATCTGTGTCTCAAGTACAATTTAAAATGCAAATGATATGTCTTCAGTTTCCACTATACTGTACTATACATCATTGCAATTATACGTTTATTTTAAAAACAACTTCCAACAAATGTCACTTATTCTCCACAGCAATCAAGCTCATTGGACCAGTCCTGCAGAAGTTACCAGAGGATGGCAATTCCTCTTCACCATCAAACGAGGTGGCAGCTAATATTTGCATGATACTTAACAATCTGGTTGTGGAGTCTAGTGAAGCTCCAAGACAAATTGTAAACCATAATGGATTAAGGAAACTCATGAACATCAAACACCGAAGAGATAGGTAAGTGGGTCATTTGCTGTGATATTATGGATCGTGTGCAAGATAATTTTATCGATGAGTATTTGGTTGTGTTATTTATTCGGGGGAATGTGGTGGCACTGGCTAGGCCAGCACCTATTGTCTATTCCTAATTACCCTTGAAGATTGTGGTGAGTTGAATTTCTGCAGGTCACTTAGTGTTGATACAGCGCTGTTGGGAGTGGAGTTCCAGGATTTTCGACCAATGACAGTCAAGCTGGTATATTTCCAAGTCAAGATATTGAGTGGCTTAGAGAGGAACTTGCAGATTGTGGTGTTTCCAAGTATTTGTTGCCCTTCACTTTCTAGATAGTAGTGCTTGTGAGTTTGGAAGATGTTTCTAAGGAGCCTCTGGCCAGTTTGATGTATATTGTGGAACAGACTCGGGAACAGGCTATTTTGGATGTATTATTGTGTAATATGAGATTTAATTTATATGCTTGTAGTAAAGGGTCCTCTGGGCAGCTCAGCGGTTAGCACTGCTGCCTCACAGTGCCAGGGACCTGGGTTCAATTCCAGCCTTGTGTAGCTGTCCGTGTGGAGTTTGCACATTCACCCTGTGTCTGCATGGGTTTCTTCCAGGTGCTGCAATTTCCTCCCACAGTCCACTGATGTGCAGGTTAGGTGGATTGGCCATGCTAAAGGTTGCCGTGCAGTGTGCCAGGGATGTGTAAGTTAGCTGGGATAGCCGTGGTAAAAACCCCATGCTGGGTTACGGAGATGGGGTGGGGGAGTCTGGGTTGGATGCTTTTCAGAGGGTTGGTGCAGACTCAGTGGAGTGAATGGCCTCTTTCTGCACTGCAGGGTTTCTGTGAAAGAGTTATTATATAATTTTATGTTGCATTTACAATGACATTTACATCCAAAACTTGTGCCTTTGCTCTAAACAAAAAAAAACTAATTAGATGAGATGCAAGTTGATAGATTTGGGAAACTGCTTTAAAAGAAAAAAAAGCAGACAAGCAATGGTTAGCATTTAAAGAGTTAATAAAACATTTGCTGCAAACATGTATTCACTTCAGGTGCAAAGGCTGCAAGGAAGCTAACTGAGGCTAATGACAGGAGTTAAAAGAAAGATAGAAAGGGAAAAGCTTATAATGTTATCAAAAAGAATAGTAAGCATGAAGATAGGAAACCTGTTTTAATTTCATGAAGGCAAAGAAATTGATTAAAAAAAGAAAAAGAACGATATGCGAGCACACCAGTAAGAGGTATTTAAAAATAATATAACCTTACCTTATGTAAATACCTGGGAAGTGATTGGTGAAAGTGAACCTGGGCCCATCAGTGGCCGAGCCAGGTGCATTTACAAGGGAGAATAAAGAAGTGGCAGAGACCTTAAACAGGTGCTTTATCTGTGTTTGCAGTCTCTTCAGAAAGCAGTCATGAAATAATAGAGAGTCAAGGGTCTGGTGAGAATGAAAATGTCCTTGTAAATCAGGAAATAGTATGGGAAAAATTATTGGGATGAAGTGATGATAAATCCTCTGTACCTAACGACTTGTCCCCTGGGGTTTTAAAAGAAAGAACTGTTGAGATTGTGGATGTAATGGTTGTCATCTCCTAGAATGCTGGCTGGAAGATAGTAAACATGACCGTTTAACAAAGGAGGAAAGAGAGAAAATGGGGAAAGGTAGGCTGGTTAACCTAACCTCATTATGAGGCATTTAGAAAATCAAGATAAGATTAAGCAGTCAGATTTATGAGGGGGTGATAATATGTTTGATGAATTGAAGTATTTTGAGGATGTTACTGATGAGGGTAAATGCAATATATTTGGATTTTACAAAAGGCGTTCAATTCAGTGAGGTGACTACACAAGGTTGCTCAGTGGTTAGCACTGCTGCTTTACAGTGCCTGGGATCCGGGTTCGATTCCACCCTTGGGTGACTGACTGTGTGGAGTTTGCACATTCTCCCGGTGTCTGTGTGGGTTTCCTCCGGGTGCTCTGGTTTCTTCCCGCAATCCAAAGGTGTGCAGTTTAGGTGGATCGGCCATGCTAAATTGCCCGTAGTGTTCAGGGATGTGTAGATTAGATGGGTTATAAGGGGATGGGTCTGGGTGGGGTGATCTGTGGGTCGGTGTGGACTTTTGGGCCGAAGGGCCTGTTTCCACACTGTAGAAATTCTATGAAAGTTAGGACTTGTGGGATTGGAAGTACTATATTTGCATGGATTAAAGTTTGGCTAACGAACAAGAAGCACAGAGTAGGAACAAATGGGACATTTGCAGATTGGCAGCATGCAACTAGTGGGATAACATAAGGATCAGGTACTTGGACCTTGATACTTTATAAGCTATATTAACAATGTGCACTCAGTCCCCTAATGAGTTTGCTGATGGTATGACGTTAATTTGGAAAGTAAACAGTGAGGATGATACAAAGCACGGCACAGTTATTTTGATGCTATGTGAGGACCATGACAGGTGGAATACAATATGTTGAAGTGTAACATTATCCATAATATAATAAAACCAAGTCACTGCAGATGTTGAAGCTCTGCAATAAAAATAAAGTGCTGGTTCAAACTCAGGAGGTTTGGCAGCATCTATGGAGAGAGAAACAGAGTTAATGTTTCAGGTCCAATATGAGTTATTTTCAGGACAGAATTCCTGGGAAAAGGGAATTGCACTACAAGGACAAATTGAATAGATTTCAATTTCAATATTCCCTTGAGAAGAATAAGAGACGATATAACTGAAACACCAAATTTTTAAGGGGTTGCTGTTGTGCAAAGACCCTGTAGTAACCTTGTGATGATGTCACAGATTTGCACATTGCTGGGTATAAATACCACAGTGTGGGAGGGGTTAGCACACACTAGTAGTCACATTCTGTAAGGCATACCAGAATCTGACTGTTTGGAAGGTTCCCAGAGAGCATGTGGACATGAACACTCACAGAAGATAAATCAGCGAAAACTTACTGTGTGGCATAAAAACATATGACAAAAGACTTGGCAAGGCAGATGTTGAGAAGATGTTTCTATTAGTTGGGGGTGGGGGTCTGGAACTAGGGGATAGAATAAGGGGACACTCGTTTAAAACTGAAATGTGAAGGAATTTCATCTCCCAGAGTGTAATGAATGTCTGAAATTCTTTACTCCATAAAGTCATGGAGGTGAGATCTCTGAAAGTATTTAAAAAGGAGGTATTCTGAAATATCAGGGACTTAATGGCTCTGCTGTGAGCAAATATGGAAGAGGAGTTGAGCCCTGGGATGAATCAGCCATGACCTTTTTGAATGATAGAGCAGGCTAGAGGGGCTGAATGGCCTACTCCTGTTCATAAGTTTTTTTTTTAAACTTTTAAGTTGTTTCTCCAGGCTAGGGGATCTAGAATGTACAGCTTCAGAAAGGGATTAGCCTGTTGGGACCAAGATAAGGAGAAATTTCTTCAATCAAGGGGCTATGGATGTTTCGAATTGTCTCCCTCACATAGTTGTGGATGCTCAGTTGTCAAGTATGTTCAAGACAGAGACAAAATAGACTTTTGGATACCAAGGAATGAAGAGGTGGAGTTGAGGAGGATGGAACACGCCTGCAAGAGCCAAATAACAGACTCCCTAGTTTCCTTTTTTAGTTGTTGAGTTCCTCTGCTTGTTGAGAATAACAACCGGTGCATATACTTCACTTTTTTTCACGAGCGAATCAACCTTAAATCAGAACCTCCAGATCTGTTAGTCATCAACAGCATAAAGAATGTACGGTTTAAAGATGATGTTACATTAAACTTCTGAATCTCATTTAAAACAAGCCCAACTGTCCTACTCTCTCTTCAGGGTGCACAGTTTTGTGTTATTTGCAGTCCATTTACATTTAACTAAAAAGAGGTTGCCTGCATGCCCCAAACATAACTACTGGCTCGATAACTTACTTCAGGTAATTGGGTAACCTGAGAAGACAAATGCAAACTGGAATCTTATTGATTCCATGCTTTGATGTCTCATTGATTTTGAGAGCATTTTCCATGGTCAATATTTATTTCATTGGGCACTTTGACAATATAAACTTGCATAATGATAAAGAGTAATACATTTGGATTTTGGTTGGCCTAGCTCATGTCTGTTTGCGTTTTGTTTCCAGGGAAGCTGAGAAAGCAGTAAAAGCTGTCTGTAGCCTTTTGGGAAATATGTGGTATTACAAGTCCTTGCATCGTGAATACAAGTCGGTAAGTATAAATGCGATAAAAATAGCAGCTACACCCAGACCAATTCTACCTGCACTGTTACTTCACAAAGTATTTGATGACAACAACAATCAGCAAGTTAATGGCAGATCTTTGCTTTGTGCAAAACAGTGTCACATGTCCATGCATAATGTGGAGTATTTGAATTTTCCATTTAGTCTTAAAGGGCCGCTGACCCTATTCAGTTGAGATAAAAGATGAAAAATCTGTTCAAATATCGTCACTGTAGACTTCATTTTTGTCTAATCTGGACCGTCCCTATGACCTGCAACCCTCTGACAACTCCTTGTTCTTTTTTAATCAATTTTGGCTTTTTGTGCTTCAACTTCTTCATTGTACTATTTGGCCTTTGTAGCTATCTAACAGCTCTCCACTCCTGTTTCCTACTTTGTAAGAAACTCTCTAAATCATTGTTGCCCAAGCTTATGGTCATTAGTTCTAATATTCTCCTCCTTTGTGTGTCATGGGGTTTGATTACGTTCGTGTGAGGTACCATCAAGCGTTTTACTGCATTAATGTTCCAAATGAATGCAGGCTGTCAGCAGATGGTAAGACTCTTCTTTTAGAGCAGTGTTGAACAAGAGACTTGGCCTATTGGCTGCTTTGCTTTTCCAGGAATGAATTATTCATTTTAGTTTCACTGGAATTTCTAAATACACAAAGGAAGGCTTTTGTTGTGACAAGGGACACTAATTTAAGAGCCTAACCTTGTGAACGCACGCATCCAACAAACCCGTTAATGGCCCACCGACAATGATCCATTGAGCACAACGAATCAAGTGCGTGTATTAATTTTAAAGGTCTGCCTGCCATTTTGTAACTCTGCGGCATTGGAAAGAGTGGAAGTGTTGCATCTGGTCGAAGGTGGCCATCTTGTGGAGGTGCTGGTGTTGGACTGGGGTGGACAAGGTCAAAAGTCACACAGCACCAAGGTATAGTCCAACAGGTTTATTTAAAATTACAAGCTTTCAGAGCGCTGCTCCTTCGTCAGGTGAAGGGCACTCTGAAAGCTTATCATTTTCAATAAACCTGTTGGACTGTAACCTAGTGTTGTGTAACTTTTGACTCTGGTTGAATGCGTTTTGAAACTCTTCTCCTGGTGCAGAACCTTGTACTGTAATCTTTATTGTATCAAGAAGTGCAGTCTGAGGATTATCAGATCAGTCACGATCTCATTGCATGGCAAGGCAGACTTGAAGTGCTAAATGACCTACTTCTGCCTGTATATCTTATGGTCAATTCCAAACTTGGGTGCAAGGTTAATCCGTAGATCAGGTTTGTCTAATTGGTGGCCCAAGGGTCAGAATATAGCACACCAGGCCTTGTCCAGGACACACATACAGAGCAGGCAAATGGATCGGAAATTTGCTATACAGCTGCCCATGCAATCACAGGCCATTTCTGTCTTGTATTGGCTGCTGATTTGCTCAAGCGAGTGGAAGAGCAGCAAACAGTGATGATGTCTGACTTCTGTTTAGTTTCCCACAGAGCCCTTGGTCTCTGCACCATGGGCCATTGCTTTTTCTCCCACCCTCCAGCACAGGCACAGTTCCCTAAGATGGCAGTGTGTGCTGGAGAAGCCAAGACGAAGAGCAGTGGCCGCAACAGCACATAACCCACTGCTGGGTAGCTAGTGGGTTGAACAGTGTACGCAGAGGAGCGCATCTTTTGCGACTTCGCAACCAACCTAAAATTGGTAAAATGTTCAAGCCTCAGGCCTGGCAGCCAAGGAGGGTATGTGTCCAAGGTAAACAAAATATGGGAGTGAATCAATGTGGAACAGTGGCATGCTGTGAGGGAGGGAGTGAAGGCACCTGTGATCCTGAGGCTGTATTAGAGCCAGACGCACACATAGCCTCACCCGCCTCCTTGTCTTCACTCCCCAAAACCCTACCCACAAAGTAGCTGGGAGAGGAGGAACAACCGGGCAGAAAGGCAACCCCACCCCCAAGCCCCACTTTCATGTCATTTCTGCTGAGGCCAGCTCAGGGTATCAGCCACTGGAGGCAGATGGGAAAGTTGGTGTTAGTTAAACACAAAATCTAAGCTTTTCCTCAGTCCCCACCTGCTTCCTTGGTGATCAGTGTTGTACAGGATTTTAACTGAAAAAGTTCACGCAGCATTGGCTCCCCCTATTCTACTGATGTCTCACTGTTTGTGGGTGCAGATGAGGAATACTACTCTCACTTTCGGAGGGAGTAGATGTACCTCTACCAGCTGTCTAAGGTTCCAGTAATTACATCCGGCCAAATGTAGTTGCATTTATTGCTATCTTGCAATAAATATTTTTGTTGTCTAAGAACAGTGTAATAACTAAATCTCTACGGTGCCTTATGCTCTAGCACTAGTCACTAGGCAAGCCCAAGATAAAACAAAAGCAAAGGAGGATTGGTATTATTATATTACTTGAAATCACCCTTAGCCAGTAAACATACTGGTGACGGTAACAAATATGACAAGGTACTCTGAGTGATCATGTGGAAAAATACCACAAGCAGGATTTGGCACCTCGTCTGTCTGTCTGTCTCTCTCTCTCCTTACGTGAAAAGAAAGAAAATATTTTATTCGTTAGCTCTGCTGCTTGGCATGCTTTAACGGTCATTTTTATTAATTCCACACCTTTTAAAATTGTCAATGTATTGTATTGATTTTGAAATTCATATTAATGCGAAACATTTCTGAAATTTGCTCATCAACTCATTGAGTGAGGGGGGGAAAAGATTGAAATGTGACCTCTCATTGCAAAAAAGGGTTGGATAACTTTCTACTAGTTTAACTCCTTCCCCGAGGTGTGGGGTACTTGCTTCTTGGTATGATGTAGTGCTGAACGATACAGTCTACCCAGGTCTCAGGTTTCTGCTATCAAAATGAATTAAAGAAGCTGTAGGGATGCTACAGATTGCCTTAATGTCAAGAAATGAAGGAAAATAAAATGGGCCTGTATCCAGATCATAACTCCTCACTCTTGTTGGGAGATTTTATGTTGAGGTGTCAGGTATGGCAGGATGAGGTTTGCAATCTTAAGTCCCTTGATCAAATAGCATAATAATATTTACAAGTCAGCTACAAACATACAGATGGACAGAGCATTGGAGTGATGATGCATATTCCGGCATAAGTCAGCAGAGGAATTAATGGCAAGAAGATTATCTTCAGTTTCCAATACTGTTTATTTCAAGCAATAAACAACTGAAAATTGCAGTTCTATTTGCTTGTTGAATTCAGAAGTTGTTGAAGGCATATTGGAGCATAAATTCACGAGTTATCCAATACACTGGTCAACAAGGGAGCTGTAAAGCTGCTCAGCATTTGAGAAATGTAGGAAGAAGTGCAGTGAACAATCTAATCATGGAGTGGATACCAGACAATACCACAAACAGCGTGGAAGAAAATTAGAAAGATAAATCCATGAATCATTCTGTGATATCTTGTGGTGATGATTTACAGACTGTGAAGCTGACCCATTCACCCGGGAAGGCCTATTGTACACTGATTTTTTGATCAAACAGAGTAGGGTATTTAGATGTTTCTGATTGCAAACTGCGCTGCAACATGTTGAGTTCTTTTTTAATCCCCCAAACCTTTAGCCTGTTTTTTTTCTCAGTGACTTCTGCATCTTAGTTTTCTGTGAACCTCCATTCAGTTGTCAAGATTTGCAAATTTAAAAGCTAGCTAGCTTTGGGACTTCCTGCCATGCTCCCGAGCCTGTGTCCCAATACTGCCTCCTGAAGGCTTGTAGATTTGGGACAATGTAGTAACTGTGGGTTGGGAATGTTGATTGGCAACTGTGAGCACTTCTGTATGGCACAGAGCTCTGGGCCATGTGTCACAGCAATTGCTTAAAAATAAATCACCAAATGGCCAAGTTTGTACAAACAGGCAGCTCCTTTTCATTTTAAGGCGGTACTGAGGTTCTTTACTGTAAGTAAAACAAAAATGGGCTATTCATATTCCTCAACCTCCCATTCCTCTCCCTGTTTCAAGATACTTGGTCTTGATAGATAAACAACATTACTAACAGTGAAGAGAGGCAATTTGAGTTCCATAATTTTTCTTTCTCCTCTCTGTCTATAAACAGGGTGATCTTTAATTTACCTTCTGTTTCCTTTGAAATAGGCTGTGGTGTGGTTTCCCCAATCCTGAAGTCCAGTTCTTTTTTCAAATGACTCTCAATGAACTCTTGTTAGGGTTTAAAGATTAACTTGGGTTTATTCATCCATTCGAACCCTGTGATGATTAATCTCTCTCTCATGCCAGATTGCTCACTCACTCTTGCGTGCGAAAGAAAAATAAAAAGAAAGAGGTTATAATTAAGAATAACTTATAAATCAAAAGATATGGATACTAATTCATGTGAGTTGTGTCTCAAGTACAGAAAATGAGTGTCCAGGGAAGGTTTTCGTTCCTGTAAAAGCTTGGATTCAGGCTGACATCTCTCAATTACTTTTGATGTTGAAGAATGTACAACAAAATGCTGGTGTATAGACTTGATCCACATTTCTAGTGATAACCGAACCTTCTAGAGCACTAGGCTTCGAGGCAATATTGGACTTGAAGCAGGTTTAGCTCACTCTGGATAAAAGCAAAATATTACAGATGGTGGAAATCTGAAATAAAAACAGAAAGTGCTGGACAAGCTCAGCAGGTCTGGCAGGATCAATGGAGAGAATACCACAGCCCAATAAAATCTCAGACTCCATGTTAACTCTGACTCTCTCTCTCCAAAGATGCTGCCAGCCTTGCTGAGGTTCTCCAGCAATTTCTGTTTTTATTCAGCTCAGCCTGGAGTATGGTTTCCTGTCAAGGGTCTTGCAGCCAATCTCAATGATAACAAGCAATCTAGGTTTTTACTAACCTGTGATGTTAACCGTAGACTAGATTTCTACAATGGATCCCAGAAAATACAGTTAACCTCTCTAGAGGCACACTGACAGGCTTATTTAAGGATTTGAGTTTCAATTTAGCAATCGATTCCTATCTCT